TTCTTAAATAACTGCTAACAATTGGAAACAAATATCCAACAAAAAGAGAATGAATAAATTAATGCATATATCCGTGTAATAGAATGACAGAATGCTATTCAGTGATTAAAAATAATGGCTATTTCTTGGAAAGCTGTTCATCATACACTAGAAATTAAAAATAGCAGGTTCCAAACAGGGTGGATGATGGGAGCCAATTTTGGTAATAAATAAGAAAAGTACTCAGACATGTGATTAAAGGAGATATACCCAAGTTGTTAAAAGGAGATTTCCTTGTGTAGAATGATTAAAGATTTTTTATCTTTTTTTTATTCTTAACTGCCTTTCAAAAGTTTCCTCTATGAACTATGTTAACTTTATAATAAGGATAAGAAGATACAAATTATTAAAAAGGAGAATTTCATCTGTCACTAGATCACTGTTGTCTGTTTTGATTTGGCTAAGAGCACAGTGCGATGATGGGCTTTGTAACACGTTTTAATAACCCAGGCTTTTTAGTGAGAATATTCACTCTGATGCCTGGACACCTCCTGTCTTTGGAGGTACAGGCTTCTCAGAGATCAAGGCACCTTTTGCTGATTTTAATGTTCCCTGGTGAGATAAAAGAGTGCATAACAGGGCCAGCAGTGGAATTGTGCCTGAGTCATGCTTTTCATCACAGAAGACAGGACTCAGGCTAGACCAGGAATTAGTTAGAAGTTCCTAAATTTTGTGGGGGTTGGAGGTGGGGAAGAGGTTTTCTGTTTCAGACCCAAATCAGACTGTCGGGATCCTGGTCAGGAGGAGCATCTCCCACTGTGCTAAAAAGCCTTGAGTGGTTAGTCATTTGATGCTGAAATGGGGTTATTGGAGCTGAGTCACAGGAAATCTTGAAATGAGATCGAGAAAGAAATAGAGACGGTGAGGGGGAGAGAGAGAGCGACAGACAAAAAGAAAAAGGAGGAAGGAGGGAGAGGGAGGAGAGAGAGGAGGAAGAGAAGGAGGAGAGGACTGGGAGGAAAGAAGGAGAGAAAGGGAGAGAGGAAGAGAGAATAAGACAGAGATAGAGAAAAAAGATGGACACAGAGGGAGGGGAAGATGCAAATAGAGACAGAGGAGGAAGGGAGAAAGGGCAGAGGGGGACAGAGATACAGAAAAGGTGAGGTAACAGAAATGGAGAGAGCAAAGGACATACCCAGAGAAACTGGCACAGAGAGAGAGACACACAGAGAAGACTCGTGGACTCACACGCACAGACATGACACCCACATTAACCTGCGCGACCACAGAACCCAGCGCAGTGCTGTTGCTGGGAACTGGGCCTCTCCGGGGCAGATGGCTGGGACAGCATCTTTTTGTGTGCGCCTTTGTCGATTAAACTCAGACCTCACCTTGAGCTATCTATAAGAGTTCTCAGTGCAAAGTTGTTTCCTCTTTCAATGCCCGCTCCCCGAAGAATCGTTAATACAGCAACAATAACAACACCACTCACAAGGCCATCATGTCTTTCTGAGAGTTCTGGGGAGCCAGGCACGCATTATTAGAAAACTGTGTCCCAGTCTGGACCCTCCCTGCAGCCTTACTCACCCTCTTCTGTGCACACAGCCCCTCAGGGACAATGCTTCTCAGTGTACAGGATCAAAGGCTGCAAATAATTAATGAGATTTTTTCTCCCGGAAGATTTCCTGTAACAATAGCTCAACCTGTCAGTGATGTTATCCCTGCTTTTGAACCAGCACCAAGAGAGGCAGGATGAAGGGGAGGGGAAAGGGAAGGGAGGGGAGGGGAGGTCCATTCTGTACCAAGCTGAGAAAGGGTCACTTCTAGGCAACTCTGAATCCCAGAAGACAGAAATTTCTCAGTCTGTCTGTCTGTCTGTCTGTCTGTCTCTATCTTGCGCACATGCACGCGCGCGCGCACATACATTCATAACTCTGAATCCCAGAAGACAGAAATTTCTCAGTCTTGCTCTCGCGCGCGTGCGCACGCACGTACGCATACACACACACATATTTACTCTGCTTTGAGGCTGGAAAAGGGATTTGTCCAGGCACACACACACACACACACACACACACACACACATTTACTTTGCTTTGAGGCTGGAAAAGGGATTTGTCCAGGCCCTGCTCAGCCACACCAGTTTGTAAATGCAAGAACTCAGGCACATCAGCTGCAGAGAAACCACTCAGCTATGTTTTCTGAGGGGATTCACAAAACTGAACTTGGTCACAGTGGCTCTCCACAGTTTCTGATGGGTTAGTATCCACTCCCATCTTCCGGGAAGAACCTCCTGCATTGCTGTGGGAAGCCACCTCTCCAGGTTGTCACGGCGAGAGGCTGGGGCGATGGTAGGCTCATGTACCAGGACTAGCTCATGGGCACATTTCAACCTCTTGCTATTCTGTTTGGTTCAGTGGTGAGTGTGTATCCCAGGGGGCTCAGTGAGACCCGGAGCTGGCCCTGGGGCTGTACGCCTGATTGGGAAAGAGCTTTTCTGGTGGAACTCGGGACCTGTGTTGTTGGTAGTCTCATCTCTCCACAGCCATACAGATACGGCTGAGGGGGAAGCCGACCCAGGGAAGAGCAGAGCTGAGAGGTGGAGAAAATATATTCTGAGCACCTGAATTCTCACGCCGGATGCCCTCGTTCCCATGGACTTTTCAGTTATGTGGGCCAACACATGTTCCCTTGGCCTAAGTCACTCCGAGATGGGTCCTGGCAACTCGTGGCTGAGGGTCACACCTGTGATGACCAACTGTAGAAACACGAAGCTCCTCAGGGCTTTCCAGATTCCTGCTTTTGACTCACCGCATGGAATTTACAAACTGTTTCCCTGACCTGCTTTTCTCACACAGTCGGTGCCACTCACATTCTACCCGTGATAAAATGGGGAACCCTTGTCCCCCAGTTCCAGTGATTGGGTCTTTGTTCTCTGTGGCTCAGATCCTGGCCTTGATGTCCCTCAATGTCTTGGCCCTTGCCAGTCGCCCGCTCCCTCTCTAGGTTGGAGTCCTGTCCCCCGACTCACTTTGCTGGGACCGCTTTCTGTGGCCTGTCTCCGCACTCCAAGAGCCATACTCCCCTGGCAGACAGGATTTCCTTCCCCCTTCTCAATCGGCCGCCAGCTGTGGTGGGCCGCCGCTTCTGGGAACATCGCCTCCGTTGCCTGTCAGGGTGCATTGGGTCAGGGGACTCGTGACTCCAGCTCAGGTAAAGCAGACTCATCTCTGAGCATGTGAACCATGGGCCGAGTGACACAGGATGGAAAATGGCTAGGGGTGGTCCATTCTCCCGTGAGATCACGCTGTGCCAGCCTGTCAGTTCCCATTACCTCGAGACTCAACCGTGCCCTACTTCCTGTGCAGCCTCAGGCCAGGTTCTAAACATATTCTTCGAGTCTATAAACTGCAGAATCTCCCAACAAGTTCTCCCTTTTGCCGGAGGCGGTCAAAACTGGTCTTCAACGAACAGCCCAGACAGACCCACCTCTCCGCAGCCTGTCCCACCCTGTGGGACCTCTACTCCCAGAGCTCGCACCTGTCCCTCCCCATCCCCATCACGTCAACCCTTTCATGCCTGGCAACATCCCAAGTTATCAGCAATGGCAGAGTCTCAGGTTTAGCAATATCGACCCCATTTAAACTCATTTCCCTCCCTTTTACCTCCTATTGTAGAAGTCCAAAATGACAGTTAAGCTCTCCTAAAGATACCACAAATTTGTGCAACTGCTATACAGTTTGTTAAGCTAAAGGTTTTTCCATCTAAGTACTTAAGGAAAGCTTTCTTTTTGATGTTTAAATTGCATGTTTCCTTTGCCAGATACCAAGCAGAAAAAGGAAAAAAAAAAAAGTGGGAAATGAAAAAACAAAGATTGGCTATTTCAGATTCACATTATTATAGGACCTGGTATTATTTCGCACCTTTATCTAGTTCATCTGGCATTTCAGAAAGTTTTGTTGTAAAAATAAATCCCCTTTTGGGATTGAAAAATAATTTAAGCTGCTTGTCTGCCAGCTTGCTCCACTGTAAGGGGGCTGATGTGGAAACCGTGGCACATTTTCAGGTGTTTCAAATCAGGAAAATAAGACACATGTTTATTAAAAGTGTGTCTAATACTTGATTATCTGTACCTCAGATGAGAAGATTAGATTTTGGAAGAGAAAGATTAATAACTTTCTTTGCGGAGATAAACGCGCATTTGGACCTGCATGCCAATTGTTTATTGTGAAGCAGCGTACCCACGAGGGCATCTTGTCTTTGCTAGCATTGGATGCACCGTGGATAATGATCATTTAATTAAATCTCATTACGAAAATACCTTCTTTCTAAGCCCTGGACAGTGTTTAAGAAAGGGAGATGAAAATTTTTGGAGATTTTTTTGGGGGGCTTGCCGTTCATCAGTCAAAAACCCAGTCCCGACAGTCCATTTCTAAATACCAGGCAATGTCTGTCCCTTCCCTTTCTGACTGTTCAGAGTCCACAGCACTCGGCAGAGAGCATGCCTGGACTTTGCAGACTGTCTTGTTTCCATCCTGATTCCTCTGCCACTAGGCTGGGCAGCCTTGGGTAAGTTACCAAACCTCTCTGAATTCACATGACCCTTGTCTGTACGTGGAACAGCCAACACGTTTCTCATAAAGTTGTAACAATAAAGTGGGTCAAGTATCTGAGGTATGGGGAGTCATATGTTGTGGCTTCTTTCTCTCTCCCTTTGGGGACTGTGCTTGGCGCTGGCAGACCCCTCTGGTCATCTGGGAACACAGCCCTGAACTCACTCTTCTCCAAGACTGGTCTGCTCCCTGGAATCAGGTGCAAGAGTCTGTTCCAACTTAGCAAGCCTGGTCCCCTGGTGCCATCAGCTGCCAACTCTTCATTTTGACATGTACCTCCCACTCACCCAGATCATTAACAAGTTTAATTGAATGGTAGTTTGGCTCCTGACACCCAGCCCTTGCAACCGGAAAAGAAAAGCAATTTGTGTCTGTCTCCCGCCTCTGGCTACAGAGCCTCGGACCCACCTGATGGTTTGATGCTGCAGGGAATCGGGGTCTGTGGCATTCACTGTCAACAGCACACTGCCCACGGAGATGTTCTCCTGCCTGGTCACCATCATGGGGTCGGGGTAGAAAACTGGACCCTCGTTGACATCCAGGACAGTGATGTGGATGGTCGCCGTGGAGCTGGGGCCGTAGGAGACATCGGGTACCAGCGGGTCCTCGTTTTCCACTTTGATCAGCAGGGTGTGAAAGGCAGAAATCTCATAGTCTAGAGGCTGGAAAGCAGAGAGAGGAGCTCAGCATGTGTGTCTGCCACAAAGTCCCTCTGACATTCCACGAGCAGCAGTGGACCTTTAGGGTTGGATGGATCCAGGTTTTGTGAGCTAAGTTTTATGCAATTTGGAGTCTTTTTCAAAAAAAAAAAAAGAATGTGAAACACACAGATACAAAATTAGGTGTGAAAGCTGTTAATTTTTTTAGATTGAGAAAGAAATAACAACACATTACATGAGACTCAGAGATCTGAGGCCTTCCTTCTAAGATCTCTTTAGATGGCTCCCTGGCAATGCTGACATTAAAAAGCCTTCCCTCCCATAACCTGCAACTCCACAGCTCATGACACTCATGGGGCTCATGTGGATGAGAGACGCTGAAGCCTGAGCTTCATGGCAACCCTGCCTCTGTAACCATGGGAGATGGAAGGGGAAAAGCAAATCAAGGTTCCACTCTTAGTGTTTCCCACTCACTCGCCATGAGGTCTAGGGGCCGGAGGCTCACAGCACTTAGAGTAGGGAATCTCCTGGCACAGATATGCATTTTCCAGTAGAATGCCATGTAGAGAAAAGGCTTTAAGAGGCTGAGGCAAATGTGGTTGAGATGCTGGGCCCTTTCCCACCTGAGGGCACTTGAAAAGGTATGGGGTACATTTTCAGTTGTTGCCATGACTTGGGGGCTCTCTGGCCATATACTGAGCCAGGGCAGTGACACCAGACACATGGCCATGTCCAGGACAGTCCAACACAATGGTGGATCATTCTGCCCTCAAGGCCAGTGAGCAGCCCCAGTGAGACAATAAACTGCCTGTCATACCAGGTAGTGTTTCTACATGGGATGCTGACTGGGACCCAGCCCTCTGCCCTGCCTTGGGAAGCTTTATCCATGCAGAAAGCAATACACTTGGTGGGTGAAAGTGCCATTTTCACTCCTAAATACAAGAGGGGTCAGAGTCAAATCCTAATAACTATAGGACATATGAGACCACGGGAACGTCACTGCACCTTCCAGAGTCTCAGCTTTCCCGTCGATAAAGTCCCAGTACAAAGGACTGTGGTAAAGATTAGGGGAGATGAATCGGTCTAGAGCCCGATGTGATAACAAGCCATTAAGACGGTGAGGAAGAAGAACGTGGGATTGACGTGCTGGCAGAGCCGCCGCCCTCCCGCCTTGTTGTTCAGGTTCGTTCCCAAGCTGGCATTCCCTGAGCAGAAGACTGGCTTCAGAGCAATTGAGAAGTGAACGATGCCACCACGAGAGAGGGAAACAGAGCACGAGAGTGAGCCGCACGGCGATAGACCGGTCTTTTCTGGGGAGCGAACCATTCTAGTGCTTACTTCCATTTGCACAATGCCAGGGGTGATAGTTCCAGTTGTAGGAGGCCCTGGGCCTGTCCACCTGGAGATGGTGAAACGTAGGTTTCTGCCCCAGGCTCTTTTTTTTTGCCCGCCCTGGCTCACGCTGGATTAAGAAGCCATCTGTTGTCTCAGGGATATGACCTTATTAATGTGATTTGTCTGGTGTAGGGTCCCTGTGTCGGGGATGGGAGAAAATTGAAAATACCTCCAATAAAGTTACAGAGATTTGATTCAATTAATATTTCATCAAGTGTCAAGAGACAGTGTGGGCCACTGTCCTGAAGGGTTTCAAGGCTGGAAAAGCTGGCCCACGTGGGAAGGCAAAGGAGCTGGGGTTTCTTGTCTGAAAGAAAGGGATTTGGAAGTGATCCAACAGTAATTTTTAAGTCTATGATAGGTCTGGGGATTCAAGAATGCCTGCTTTCTCAAAGCTTCCTTCTTCTCTGAGGACAAAAAAGAAAATAGACTTAAGATGAAGCGTGGATTATATTCAGCCAAAAGAATATCTCTTTGGCATTTTGGAATAGGTTTACGAAGCAACTCAAGGTGTTTCTGTCCAGAAGATTTTAAAGAGGAAACAGGTACTCACTGGCCAGAACCATTAGGGTCCAGTCCTGGAGGGAGGCAGGACTCCCCCGGAAACCACACGATCCGGGGACTTCTGCTAGTTTTTCAGTATGTTGCCTGCTAACTGGTTAGGGCAGAACTTCTCATGACTGGCTGCCCCATGGCCATGGCCACCCCCATTCTCCCTCAGAGTCCCGAAGGCCATATTTGGACTTTCCAGCCTTCCTTGCAGCTAAGGGTGTGTATGTGTCATCTGGCTAATGACATGTTATAGGAAGTTGTCTGGGGGACCCGTGAAAAAGATATTTTCTTCCCTGATGAGAGGAGAGGAGCACTCTCTCTCACTTGCTTGGCTGCTTCCTTGCTTCCTGCCTTGGACCACGGCACTGAGAAGATGTGATGCCTGGGGCTTTGGCAGCTATTTTATGTCCATGAGGAAAAAGCCAGAAACATCTGTGGTGCCCCCTGTTGGTTCTCTGACACCTTTAATTGCCAACCAATCCTAAACGGGCCTACCTTCATTTAATTATAGAGCTCATTAAATCTTCTTTATTATTTAAGCTACTATCAGCCTGGCATTCTGTTACTTACAGCTGAAATCATTTCTAATTAATGCTTTGAGTTGTTGGCAAAGTGGAGAGCATGGGGAGCATAGCCAGGCCTGCGTCTAGACAGTGGTCCCCAACCTTTATGGCACCGGGGACCAGTGCTCCTATAAGAATCTGAGGTGGAGCTGAGGCAGTGATACTAGCACTGGGGAGCAGCTGCAAATACAGATGAAGCTTTGCTCCACCTCCTGCTGTGGGCCCTGGTTCCTAACAGGCCATAAACTGGTACCAGTCTATGGCCCAGGGGTTAGGAATCCCTACTCTAGAAGGCCATCCTGGGGCTCTGACCCAGGTGTGCTGAGAAGCAGGGAGAGCTCCAAGCCCTTTGTAGGGATGCCTGTGGCAGGCAGCCAAAATGAGGGGAGTCTTCGTTTCAGTTCTGAAGCACAGTCACTCACTAGAAAAGTCGAAGCCCAGGCAGAGCCCCGGACTCCGTGGTCATTTCCTCCTAAGGAGTTTGCAGGTGGAAACTCCTCTTCCTACAGCAGCGCTCATTCACCAGGCCGTGGTCTGTGAACACCGGCATCACTTGTGGCACCTGTCTCTCACGTTCTGACCCAGCAGGTGTGGGGCGGGCCTGGGAAGCTGTGTTTCAGCTAGCATTCCAGATGATTCTTTTATATGCTAACATTTCAGAATTCCAGCATCGTGGGCCAAAGTGGGAATGTGGGGAGGGGATAATAGTCCTTCTCCAGTCTAGTTTTACTTGTATTTTATTTCCCTCAAGTTGTAGCAGACACAAACACACGCTGGGGGAATTTTGCTCCTCCAGGATTCAGGATGAGGAGGTATATTTGTCCAGGCGTTGTCTTCCGGTGCAGGTCTGGAATACGGCATTTGATGGCTTTTATAGATAGATATAGGGCTAGCCGCAGAGGACGTCCAGTGGCTGTGTTATTTCATAACTTTTACAGCTTCCAAACTGCAGCCGTGTGTGCGCGAGGGCAGTGTCAGGATCTCCTAACGACTCTGCCATTGACTGAGTTATTAGGGAAGAAGAACTGGGAAGAGTTCTTCTTCCCTAATAACTCAGGAAAATGCCTGAGGTTCACTTTGGAGGAGGCGCTGAACAGGGCGGGGTTTGGAAGGAACCTGGAGCCCTTTTGCTTTGGAGCAAGCTGGAAGCATCTCCACAACCTCCATTCTCGATGGCTCCTGCCCCCAGGGGCAGTATAGAACTTTGTTGGTATAGTTGTTTACATGGCCCTATACTAGGCTGAATAATGACCCTCCAACATGTCCTCATTCTAATCCCTGGACCCGTCAAATATATTACCGTATGTGACAAGAGGGACTTTGCAGATGTGGATAAGCTAAGGGCCTTGAGATGGGGAGATGATCCTGGGTTATCCAGGTGGCCCCAGGTCATCTCAGACTTTCTTAAAAGAAGGATGCGGGAAAGTTAAAGGAAGAATTAGGTGTGACGATGGAGGCGGAGGCTCAGAGTCAGAGAGAGGTATGAAGATGCTGTACACTGGCTTTGAAGATAAAGAAGGGTTGTGAACAAGGAATGCGGGCAGCTCCAGGAGCTTGAAAAGATGAGGAAATCGATTCTCTCCTAGAGCCTCCAGGAGGAACTACCCCTGCAGCTTGAGGCCTGTGAAACCAATTTTGGACTTCAGGCCCCTAGAACTGTAAGAGAATAAATCTGTGTTAAAAGCCACGAAGTTTGTGATCATTTGTTTCAGCAGCCTCAGGTAACTCGCACAGGCTCGAAGTGCCTGCCACTGTTTTCAACTTTTGACATATCAACTCATGAATTCTTCACAAAAGTTCTAATTACCACCCTCATTTCACTGATGAGGAAAATGAGGCACAGAAAACAGCTAAATATCTTGGCCAAGGGCACACAGGGAGTGTGTGTTCTGATGAGGAAAATGAGGCACAGAAAACAGCTAAATAAATATCTTGGCCAAGGGCACACAGAGAGTGTGTGTTTCTGCTTTGTTCATAGCTACAATTACTATAAATACGATTATGCCTTGCTTCTGAGGCAAATGGCTTCACCCGCCAGGAAGGAAACTTCCAGTAAATGTCCTGGTCTTGCAGAACTTCTTCCCAGAACTTCTCAGCGAGAGTGGAAGTGTGTGAAAATTGCTCCTTCTAGGACTCCGAGACCACCGGCATCACACGTTCCTTGCCACCTCCCTCCCGCCCAGCGTTTCTAGAGCCCTTGCAGGGGCCTAGGGCTCGACACTCATTATCACATTTCCTCCTCATTCCACCTGCCGCCAGAGAGGGTCGGCGTGCTGGGCAGCAATGCTCACAGGAGGTTTCACACCAAGAATTAGCCAATGGATGTAATTATCTCCTGTTTTGAAGAGAATAACTGAGACTCTGCTAAGAGAGATTAAGGAGAAATGCAAAATACCCATTTTGAGCATAGATCTTAAAAAAAACCTTCAGCTATCCCATTTTTACATATCTTTGATAATTCGTTATCGAACATATAGAGAATCTCATTTAAAAATTAAGTTTGGCTTTTTAAAGTTACACATAAGTTTGAGTTTTCTGGAACCTGTCAGACAGGTTGGTCTTATGCTATAGGGATAAAGCTGTGAACTTTTTCTTGTTTAGGTCCAGGAGGGAGAGACTAGGGCTGACTTATCCCGCGACTCCCCCATGCAGCGAGGCCATGAGCCTCATCATAGGCTCTCAGTGCTCATGTGCAGGGGAGGAGCAGTCGGAAGCATCCTTACCTTGACGACAGAAAGCATCCCCTCATTGGTTTGAGGGTTGGTGTGGATTTCGAAGCTCTGCCCTGGGTTTCCATTGATGATGGTGTAGGCAGCCCTCCACGCGCCTGTGGTAGGGTCGTCCTTGTCTTCAACTGTCAAGTTGACAATAACTCCCACAGCTCCTTCCTCGACTGTGGCTTGAAACTGCAAACAAAGCAGATGGCTGCTGTCATTATTTTGAAAACACATGGCAAAGACCATTTATGGGATTCTTAACCGCATGCTTGGTATTGAGTACATTACCTATATTATTTCATTTAATAATAAATAATAACTGGAGAACAGCAGTGCCTCTTCTTCGCGCCCTTCTCCCGTCTGCCTGAATGCAGACAACCACAAGACCCCAGGCGAGGGTGGAAAAGGGAAGGAGCCTGGGTCCCTGAGTCACCACATGGAGGAGAGCAACCTGGTGACTGGGAACACCGCTTGAACTGCTGATACGTGAGAAACAAACTTTTATTGAGTTTGAGCCTTTATACATTTTTGCTTGCACATGTTCCTGCAGCCTCGCTGACCTCAAACAACAGAGAACCAGATAACAAGAGCACCATGGCTTATCTGTGAAGGGACTGGAATTGGAACCCTGTGTTTGAAGCCAGAGTCTCTGCTCAATTGGACCATATTCTCCAATAAAGAAAGCCAATTTCATCCTTCCTACCCTTTGCCCATAACTAGTATGACTTTAAAAACCATTTTCTAAGAAAACATATCAATCAATTGTTTGGAGCCTTGTTGTACCTGTGTTTTTACTGTAATACATCTCAAATACTTGTTGTAAGTAGGTGTGGTGAAAATAAATCAATAAATGAAAAATCGACTGTCTCATAGATAGAGAATTTTACAAGCTATCATTAGCACATTCTTTTGAGCTGGAAGCATAAAGTATTGTTTTGGTGCTTATCCTTGACACAGTACAGGTGAATAGTAATCCATTTGCAAATATTTTACAAACAAATAATACCAATAAGCTGACAAGAAGAAGAAATATCTCAGAATTTCAATTAGTAGGAAAGTGAATTTAGAGACAGTAAGATGAGGCTAAAAAGCCCTTGTGTTCAAAGAGAAATAATTTGAGAAATGAGGTTTCAAAAGCAGCGGCTGATTAATTGACTTGCAAATCATTAATCTTAAGCCTTAATCTTGATGCCTTGGAGGGTGGAGAGGGGACGGGAACTAATTTGTCTATCACACCTCAGCAAACCTGTGAGTTGTTTCTCTTCCGTAAAAGGGATGCTGGGAAATTCTGAGAACATGCACTTGAGATGGAAAGTAGCTGGAGTGAGGGGAGACGTGTAGGATGCTGTCACATAGATATAGCTCCAGGAGACAATTATTTTGGCCTGTTTCCTCTGATTCTTGTTTCAGTAAATCCCATCTCATACATTTCCCTTCTTCTCACAAGTCACAGAATTCTCAAGCTGGAAACCTAGACTGGTTCTCAGCCCTGTCTGTATATTAGAATCTCTTTGAGGACTTTTTTTTTTTTTTAACTGTTAGAGAAAAAAAAAGGAACAAAGTCCTATTTCAATTCAGTTGGTCTGGGGTAAGGCCTGGGATCCAATATTTTCTTAACCTGCCACATAATTCTCATATGCAGTTTGGGGTGAGAATCATGATTGAGTCTAAGTTCAAGGACGGCAAGGAGTTAATGAAAGAACCAGCCTTGTGTATTGACACGGCTACCTGAGCTCAGTGTTGAGGGGCCTGCAGTGCATCTGGGCTCAGAAGCGAGGAGAGATGTAATCAACTACTATTATTGTCTGCCATGTGTCCAGGGGTGGGACCTGGTGGCACATGTGTTATCTAATCTTTTCAGATTGCAGATGAAGATATGGGCACAGGGAAGGGAGGAAGAGATTTGTCCAAAGTTGTTCAGTGAACCAAAGGTCAGATCCAAGCGCCCTGGATTCTAGTAATCTCTGCTTTTAACAAGTTCTATTTCTTAAGCCTGCTCGAGACCTCCATCGCCTGTGCCAGTCCTTCACCCCCTGCTGTGGTCCAGAGCCAGAGGACTAGTTCTCTGTCACTACTGATCACAGCTGACCTCACCTATCGTTGTGGCTCTTCTGACACCTGTACCTTAGAAGGCCAGGTGGACAATTACTCAGGCATGGGGAGCACTAAGCCTAGAGGATGCTGGAAACCATCAGGTAGAGATGCTGTTACATCCAATACCTAGGTGAGATGTTGCTTTGTCAAAAAAGATGAGTGTCACGTTGCTAAGATGAAGACACCGTAAGAACTGATCATGATTGGAGAAAGCTGGAGGCTCCATGCACATCTGTCCCTCATGTGATGCAAGGTACATAGAAGGGACTCAGTAGATATTTGTTGAATGAATGAATGGTCTTATATATAGGAAATAGGACCTGGCATCAAAGATGAGGGCTGAGAGGAAATGTGAAGGGATAAAGCTATATAGAAGTGAGACTAAGAGAGACAGGCTTATTGGCTAATGCCTGATCCTACCACGTCCCTGAATGTTCCAGAAGGGTAGGAGTGGACTGCTCTCCCTTGTTCTCTGAGACATCTCCGGTAGGGCTGCATTGTGACTTTTGTGGACCTTACGCATTTACCTTCGTTGGCCCCTCCTACAATAATGTTTTCATGGGCTCTAAAAAATTCCCTTTTATTCTGATATGAGGAAAAATTAAAATTTTCTTTGGCCCTAAAAATTATTTTTAAATTGATTTTAGGACCCTAGATACTGCGCCTATGGCACCCGATGGATGATTGGGTTCTGATCCCCAGTACATAGCACTGTGCAAGACACATGAAAATCTGATGGATGGATAGATGAGTGAATAAATGGATGAATCTATAAAATTAATATTTAGGCTACGTCTAAGTGAGACAAGTCTATGCATCTTCTCTTAAGACACTTTTTTTTCATGTCTGCAGCACCTACTAAAGGGGCTGCCACTTAATATCTGTTTCGTGTGCGAGCAAATGAATCCAAATAAAATGAGAACATGGTATTGCTCTAGGAATTCTCAAAGTGTACATTGTGGTCCTAACATGTCCATGTAGCAGTATGTCCACAGCCACATTTACTTACCATCCATCCACTCAACCATCATCCATCCATCATCCGTCATCTACCCATTATCTATCCATCCATCCATCCATCCATCCATCCATCCATCCATCCATCCATCTATCTTCCAGCCAGCCAGCCAACAAATACTTGGTGAGTGGCTTCTGTGTGCCAGGAATGATATAGGATTAAGTGTGTGTGTGTGTGTGTGTGTGTGTGTGTGTGTGTGTGTGTGTACACAGACACTGTACACAGACACACACACACACACACAATCATAAGACTGTGTTAACTGCTAGGAAAGAAATAACACAGCTCCTGAAGAGCCTGTAGTTTGAGGGGTGGTGAGAAGGGGTGGGTACCTGACCCAGTCTGGGGAGGATCATTAGGAAAGAACTCCCTGAAAACTGAAAGAAGAGGAGGAGTCAGTGAGGTGAAAGTGAGAGAGCATTCCCGGCATCTGGAACAGCAGGTGTAAAGTCCAGTGGCGGAGAGAGCACGGTGATTTGTGGAACAGAGGGAAGGTGGTTATGGTTGGCGTGCAGAGCAGGCAGGGGAGAACTGTTTCTCTTAGACTTCATAGGAGGATAGAGTCAGATTATTCAGGGCTTTGTGGGCCACAGAAAGCCATTTGGAATTTACTTCGGAAGCAAAGGGGAATCTAATTAAGGCACCAGATTATGTTTAAATCTACTGTGAGACTTTGGAAAAAAACTTTAAACATAGAAAATATTCAACACAATTATTATAGTCTTCGTTAAGACCATTATCTGATTCTTGCATAAACTATAAAGCCAGTTTCCTTGAGCATCCATTTAGAAACTCATTATTGCTTAATTAAATACTCATTCTATTAATTCTATTCAATGTTTTAACCCCATTATGTAATTCAAGAATGGAAAATTAAATAGATTAAAATGAAATAGTACCATTTTATATTTCTATAGCAATGCTCACTTTGTGATTTAAAAACAATAGATAGACATTAATTTACCACACCAGAGAAGGAGAAAATATTGATTATAACGTTACTCCCTTTAATTGGAAAAAATGGATAAAGTTTTCTGTTAAACTGTGTGGCAAATCAAATGCCAGATGCAAGATGCATTTTTACATAATCAGTGTGGGCGACTGACTTGGGACCTACTGAGACACATTAGCTCTGTCCTCTAAATTCAGAACTGAGTTATTTCGTTCTTCTTTGACAAGGTGGGGGTGAGTTTCATGATGGACATTTATGAAGAGCCTCCTGGACTTGTCACAAAGGTCATCTATCGCCAGGGGACTTGCATTTTATTATACACTAAGAATGAATGCTCTTCCTCCACAAAGAACGAATGCTCTTCCTCACAGAGCAAAGAATTGGTCTTTAGGTTAAAATTAACCTAGAAGATGAAAATAATGATTAGCAGGCTAGAAAGCTGCAGGTGGGGAAGAAGTGACATGGATGACTTTAAGGTACTGACTATAAGCAAGCTCGAATGCTTGGTGAATGAAGTCTAGGTTCATGAGCTGTCAATCTCGAGGTTTCATAGAGAACTGATATTGAACTTGAAAATCTGGGATGTAGTCATCTGGACCCGGGCTTTGGAATATTAAAAAATAAGTTCCCAGAAAATTTTATAAACATAAATTTCTATTTGTGAGGATAAAAGAGTGAGGGATAGATCATTAAAAATTTAAATCGCAAACAATTTTACAGCCTATATTTACATAAAGGATACAGATTTTTGGAAAAATCTTATCTTTTGCTGTGGGTAAAAACTGTGATTGATATAAATAAAATAATACATTTAAGGACCATGGCACAATGTCTGGCATAGGGTAAGAAATATACGTTTGTTAGAAATGATGAAGATGAATTTCATTGTGTCATATGAAATTCTTAGAAATCAATTGGAGAATATGATTCAAACCCCTGTGATTCTTTCTGTTCTCATTAGTCTACATTATAATGTAGTTATTTATACAGTATCCTGTTTCTCTGGATTAGAATGAAAGAAGCTCTTTTCTTTTCGGTTGGAATGCTTACCTAATACTCACATACTTACTCGCTCTTCTCTTTCCTCTCACAGTGGGCCCTTCATTGCCAAGGCATGTGATGTTA